GAGTGGCAAGGCGCATGCTGGAAACACTGGCCTCTACGTGGAGCGCTGAGCTCCTACTTCCCCTCACTGCCCGCCATGCACTGTGCCTTCCCGACCCAAAGCTGAAGCCGCCTACTCCCAGTGAGCGTACCGCCCAAACTCGAACAGCGCGGTTTGGTCCAAGACCGCTGTGACCGCCTCCGTGGCAAGGCAGAGCACCACTGCAAAGTCTGCGCTCTGCATCGTGCCGAACCCGCACGGGCCAGCCGATTCCTCGGGTGACACTCGAGCCGCCAGGCACGGCGGGGCAGCGAACTGAAGCACGGCTTCGGCCTTCGAGCGCCCCGCAGCCCTGACATTGGCGAGCGCGCACTCAGCTCGGCCTCCCTGGACAGCGGCCCACACACCGAACGCACCGCATTGAGCTGCTGAGGTCTTCCTTCTGCCTCCTCCATTGTCCCTCTTCCCTCTTGCGTCACCGTGCCGCGAGGCACCGAGCTTTTGAGCTTTTGTTCTGCCGCGAGGCACCGAGTGGAGTGCTGCTGCATGCAGAGGTAGGCGTCCGGGTGGCCTGTCCTCTCGTAAAAACAGAGCTGGGCAGACGACGTCCCAGGAAAAAAAACGTCAGGTGTGAGACATGAAAAGAACTGGCGGCGCGCACAGGGGGGTGGAGGAGCGGGGAGGGCTTCTTAGAAGGAGGCTGCTTCTCAGGAGGCGCCGGCCTCACATCTATAGAGAAGGCCCGCACCTTCTAAGAAGCAGGGGTGCTTCTAAGACGCCCTCCCCCCTCCCCTCACTCCCCTCTGCGCGTGGCCGAAAGAGCGCAGCTGAGGAGGCCGCGGCTTGCGTTCGTCGAGGCGACCCCGCCCTGCGCTGAAAAGGGCGCGCGGGACAGCCGCGGGGCAGCCGCGCAGCCACGGAGCCGCGCGCCGCGCCGGCACGAGCCGCGCGCCCTCCGCTGCCTCCGGAGGCCTGCCTCCGGGGGGGCCTGCCGGGGGGGGAACACGGCGCCCCGCGAGCATGTCGCGGTGCTCGGCCGTGGCCTCGCGGGCGGCAATTTGCCGAGGAGGGGCGGGCCCAGCTGCGAGCTGCAGCTGTGCTCGCCGCCGGGGGCGCGGGTCCGCGCTGAGCGCAGCCCCGCCGGTCGTGGCGATGACCCAGAGATCCAACGTATTGAAAAATCAACACGGAGGTTTCTCATATTTTTCGGCCTCGAGGGGCCCTCGCCGGACCCCAGGACCGTCAGAAAACGACTCAGGATGAAAGACCGGTCCTGGGGAACGGGTAGGGACTTCCAGGGACCCCGCATTGAAAAAATCACGACATTGGATCTCTGGGAATCTGCGGATTCTGAAACCAGCCCCGAGCCTCGCGCGCTCGCCGGCGAAGCGGGCGCTTCGCCAGCGAAGCGGGCGGAGCGGGCGAAGCGGGCGGAGTGGAGTGCCTCCAGGTCCATGAGAGCTCTCAGTGCTGAATATATTGTTGGTGCTCTCCCTGGGGCCGCCCCCAAGAGGTCGCAAAGACGCCACCAAGAGGCCTCCAAGACGCCCCAGGAAGCCTTCAAGAGACCCCGTGAACCTTCCGAGAGGCATCTGGTACACGGCCCAGGCACGGTGGCGAGATGGGGAGAATGCTACCAGAAGAAATGCCCCCTCCTCATCCTCCAACGTCTCCTCGCTACAGAGATGCGTGGGTAAGGCGGCTCGGCGTTTCGCCTGACACATCCACAGAACCAGTTGTTTTTTGTCCAGCAGGCTCGCAGAGTGAAGGCGAGCGGCGTTCGAAAATGGAGCTCTCGCCCGAGTCGTCACCAAAATAATTTGGTCCAGAAGCTTGGAACTAAGACCAGTGCGCCAAAGGAGGGCGGGTCGCTGTCGGCCGGTGGCACTCGCCAGATCTTCCCCCTGCTGCACGACGGTGTTGCTATGTACGTTGCGCTGCCACAGCAGCTGCGCGAACGGAGGGCAGATCGTCTTCCACACGAAGCTCGCGCCAGCAGCACCATCGCACCTTCGAGCATCTACAGTCAACCCGCATCATGAGGATGCGCGATACGGATGCAAGGGCCTCGGAGGGCACTGTCGACACTCTGCGGGCGGGGCGCGGCCAGCGAAGCGGCCCAGGATGGACCGAGGAGGCAGGGATGCAAGGATACCGTTGGGAAGGTTGCGCGCTGTAAGACCGACGGGGTTCTCACTCGGTCATACCTAGACGAGCGCGTTCCACGACTCGCACAGTAACTACTCACAAATGGCCTAGATCCGCCGCGGGGGATCTACGATTAATTACATCGAAAGCGGACATGCATTGTTCGGACGTTTGCGAGTAGGCACTTTGCGAGTAGTGGAACGCGCTCAGCGAATACCACTTCCTTGGCGTGCATGTCGGGTTGTGGCTTCCATCTGCTGAGCCCCTGACCTCTGCTGTGCCCGGCGGAGCGACATCGGTTCCGCCCTTCCGTTCCGACAGCTTGCGGCAGGCCCACGAGACCACAGTCAGATCTCCTCTGGAGGCCCGCAGCTACGAAAAAGGGATGACTGCACCAACCCGTGCGGAAGGGCCTCGAGATGGGAGGGCGAGGTGCAGCATCAGTGATGTGTGCTGGGTTTTCGCTGGTCCCTCCTCCTCCTCCTTCTCCTCCTCCTCCTCCTCCTCCTCCACATGTTCCTCCTCGTCCTCCTCATTGTCCTCGTCCTCCCCCCTCCCCTCACTCTGCTGCCCTTTTCATGGGGTTCAGGGCAACGCGGGGGCCGAGGCAACCTGGGCGACCTTCGGGCGGTTTTTCTTCAGCTCCGACATCTCCTTGAGGAGCTCCTTCTCCTGCGGCCACCGCCCCAGAGAAGCGGGAGGGGGCAGCGCTAGCCGTCCACCTCTGCCTCCTGAAATCCACCCGCCCACCCACCCCTTACATTTCCCTCTCGACACCACTCCCTTCATGTCCTCCCTCCTCTGCCGCCATCCCTCTCCCCTCCCCATATGCTTCCCCCTCCCACCCCCCCACCTCTCCTGCCTGACCCACCTACCCATCCTCCCCGACCATCTCCCTTCATACCCTTCCCTATGCCACACTTCCTCTCTACCGCATACCTCTTCATCCCTACACCCAAAGCTCTACATCCGTACAGGTTCCTACTGTTGGTCACCGCACGGATGTCTCAGTCCAAGAGCAGCTATCCAGCGTGGGCGCCAATGACCAGACGCATGTGGACATATCACCGCCGAGGGCCGTCCCGAGTCAAGGCGCGGCGCGCAGCCGCGTTGTAACCAGCACGCGTCCAGCCCCGCGAGTTACCCATCAGTTTGCACTGTGTTCCAGCGAGCCCGTACAGAAGGACAGTACCCAGGCTGCGCCCTGCATCGCAGCTGCGCGTGAGCTGAAGGCTGCGCCAGCCGCACTGCAGGCCAGGTCAGCTCTGACATGCGATCGTGCCGCTTATTCCCGAAAAGCCCCTGATATCCATCAACATGTTAGCCAGGGTGGACCCCAAACAGTGAGTTCTTGCACTGCGGAGGTGAAAGCTATGTGGAGTAAGCTACGTGGTGTGAGCTATGATGGTGTAAACTATGCGCTATGAAATGTATGTGGTTTGAGTTGAAGGTGGAAGCTATGCGGTGCAAGCTACGTGCTGTAATAGATGTACTGTGAAATATGTGCTGTACGCTCTGTGGTGCAGGCTGCGTCGTGCAAGCTGTGGTGTAAGTTCGGTGCACGGGACGCCCACGAACGCCCACGAGGCGACAGCGTGGCGCGACCTCAGCAGACCCTCCAGGTGCGTGGGGGTCGATCAAACTAGGGCCAGGCAACCCCTGGAGCACCGCCCCGCCCCAAGGGCCACCGGCGGTGAATGCGAACTGTAGATGGGGGACAAACAGACAGACAAACGAGGAGATGCAGGGAAAAGAGGAACATGATGAGATGGACCGGAACCACAACCTCGAAGGGAGGGGGAGGAGACAGGGAGCAGACGCGGCGGCCGTGGCGGCGGAAAGGCAGGGAACGCGCGCAGCGAAGGCGTGGAAGGCGCGGGCGCCCTGGGGCCCGGTCCCAGGCCCTCCCCTGGTCGAGCCAACGGGCCCTACTGAGCCAGCGCCCCAGGGAGCGCCCTGGGTCCCCGTCCGCGGAGGTGCCCCTCTCGGAGGCTGGGGTGGGGAGGGATGCCTGGTGGCACTCTGAAGGGAGACGGGGTGGTGGCCTCGTGGCCACGCCGCTGCGGCGGAGACGGCGCTGTGCAAGCGGTTTGCAGTAGCACGCTCCTGTGCAATATTAGACCTGGAGGCGGTGAAGGGGGGGCGGCCGGCAGCCAGCGGAGAAAGAGGGCGGGGCGGTCGGAGGCGCAGGGCGAAGAGGTGGCGCACGCAGCGGGCCGAGGCGGAGGTGCAGCGGCCAGGCGCAGCGCTGCAGGCACGAGGGTAGGCTGCGTGGGCTGAGTGGCCGCCGTGCGCACCAACGGCCAAGGGGGGAAGGCGCAAAGGGCCCCTCCACCTGCTCACAGGAAGCGCCCGCAGAGGTTCCCGAGGCCAACGGCGGGAGCCCCCGCCTGCAAGCAGGCGCAGGGCTCCCGACACGCACGCCTCGGGGCCGACGGGGGGGATTCCACAGAACGCGGTGGAGGTGTTGCGCCCTCCTGCCGGTGGCAGGGCGCCACGCTCGCTTGTGGCTTGTGGCAGGCCACACGCGCCAAACGGGAAAGCGTAAAAGCCTCTCACCCTGCGCATAGGAGATCCCCCGAAGCGTCCCCCATCCCCGCGACTCGTACCCTCCCCTGCCGAGCAGGAGGAGGGTACCCAGATCGCGGAGGTGGCGGCCGTTTGAGGGATTCCCACCGTGCGTGGGGGAGGCACCGTTCCCACCCCCTTGCATATCCTCCCAAACCACCCCTTCCCCCGCCACAAGAGAGAGGTGGTGGGAGGTTCGCGAGATGAAACGGGGGAGAGGGGCTACGTACAAGAAGGCGAGCTGGGAGCGAGTGAAGGTTGGAGTTTGGTGGGGGGCTTCACGATGTGACTCACCTGTCTCGCCTGTGGGTGAGAATGCCTCGTAGGGACCCGCATGTCATGTGCGTCGATTGATGCAGCATGCGTAAGTGAGAAAGCCGATATCATTTTCTGCCACATACAAACAAAACTAAAATTCCAGTACCTATCAAACCTGATTCGGGCCTTCCCAAGAAGAGGTAACGATACTTCCTGGTACTATGCACGTGAGCTGTGCCGGGCGGCTGGGCGTGACTTGATGCTGCTGCTGCCGCTGGAGGGAAGAATTGGCGTAATTACAACCAGCTGTGCTGCTGCCGATGATATCGGTGAGTGTGCACGTTTTGGTGTAAGGCTAGTGCCGCGATGGGCTCCTCCTCCTCCTCATCCTCCTCATCATCATCATCATCATCAGCATCATCATCATCAACACCACCATCAGCATCATCATCATCATCATCCTCATCATCATCATCATCATCATCATCATCATCATCATCATCATCACCACCATCATCATCATCATCATCGTCATCATATATTGCTTGTCCTTTTGAATGATACCGGGGAAAAACGCACTCGTAATATGTCTAGGGCTATGGGGCTATAAGGCTATAGAACCATAGGGCTATAGGTCTATAGGGCTATAGGGTTATAAGGCTATAGAACTATAGGGCTGTAGGGCTGTAGGGCTGTGGGTCTGTGGGGCTCTGGGGCAATCGGGCTGTAGGACTGTAAGGCCATAGGGCTATAGGTCTTTAGGGCTATAAGGCTATAGGGCTATAGGGACAGGGCTATGGGGCTATAGGGTTATCGGGCTATAGGGCCATGGGGCTATAGGGCTGTAGGGCTATAAGGTTATAGGGCTATGTGGCTATAGGGCTGTAGGGCTATAAGGCTACAGGGCTATAGGGCTATAATGTTATGAGGCTATAGGGCTATAGGGCTATGTGGCTATAGGGCTATAGGGCTATAGGGCTATAGGGCCATGGGGCTATAGGGCTGTAGGGCTATAAGGTTATAGGGCTATGTGGCTATAGGGCTGTAGGGCTATAAGGCTACAGGGCTATAGGGCTATAATGTTATGAGGCTATAGGGCTATAGGGCTATGTGGCTATAGGGCTATAGGGCTATAGGGCTATTGGGCTATGGGGTTATAGGGCTATAGGGCCATAGGGCCGTAGGGCTGTAGGGCTATAGGGCTGAGGGCTATAGGGCTACAGGGCTATAGGGCGCTATGAGGCACCCAGGCGGAAATCGGTGACACACCTCACCTAACCATATGAATCCGCCAGGAACCCTACCGAGGCAAGCTCGGATTAGGGAATAAATCCTCCTTGTCGCACACCGAAGCCAGTCGAAGGGCGGGCCAGGCGTTTCGATTGAGACTTCCTTACCGTTTACGACCTTCACGCTCAACATTGCCAAGAGTTTCACAAATGAGGGCGGGCCGCTTCCAAAATGTGACTCTCGCCTTAGCATCACCAGCATCGTCACCATCATAATCATCAGCATCATAATCATCATCATCATCATCATCATCATCATCATCATCATCATCATCATCATCATCATCATCATCATCATCATCATAATCATAATAATCAGTAAGCAGCATCATAATCATCATCAATTAGCAGCATCATAATCATCATCGACATCATCAGCATCATCAGCATCATCAGCAGCATCAGCATCATCATCATCACGAACATCAGCAGCATCATCAGCATCATCAATATCATCATCAGCAGCAGCATGATCTTCATCATCATCAGCGTCATCGTCAGCATCAGAATCAGCATCGCATCATTAGCATCATCAGCATCAGCAGCATAAGCAGCATCATCAGCGTCATCAGCAGCAGCATCCGTGGCAGCATCACCATCGTCATCATAAGCATCATCAGCATCCGCATCAACGTCATCAGCAGCGTCTTCATGATCATCAGCATCCTCCTCATTATCATCGGCATCATCAGCAGCATAATCAGAATCATCACGAGCATCAGCATCCTCCTCATCATCGTCTGCATCCTTCATCCTCCTCATCCTCCTCTTCATCCTTCTCCTCCGCCTCGCTCCTACTCCTCCTCCTCCGTCGCCTCCTCCTCCTCGTCCACATCATCCCCCTCCCCCATTCCTCCTTGTCCTCCTTCTCCTCTTCCTCCTCCGCCTCCTCCTCCTCCTCAACCTCCTCCCCCTCCGTCTCCTCCTCCTCCTCCTCCTCCTCGTCCTCCTCCTCCTCCTCCCCCTCCTCATCCTCCGTATCATCATCATCATCATCATCATCATCATCATCATCATCATCATCATCATCATCATCATCATCATCATCATCATCATCATCATCATCATCATCATCATCAGCATCATCATCATCATCATCATCATCATGCATCATCATCATCACATCATCATCACATCATCATCATCATCATCATCAGCATCATCGTCATCATCATCATCATCATCATCATCATCATCATCATCATCATCATCATCATCATCATCATCATCAGCAGCATCATCATCATCAGCAGCAGCATCAGCATAGCATCATCAGCAGCAGCATCATCAGCATCATCATCATCATCATCAGCAGCATCATCAGCATCATCATCATCATCATCACCACCATCATCATCATCATCATCATCACCATCATCAGCATCGCCATCATCATCAGTATCATCATCATCATCATCATCATCATCATCATCATCATCATCATCATCATCATCATCATCATCATCGTCATCATCATCATCATCATCATCAGTATCATCATCACCATAATCATCATGAGCGTCATCATCATCATCATCAGCAGCAGCAGCATCATCATC